CCTAACAGAAAGCAAAATTTCACGCACACTCTTTGTTCCTTCTGGTCGGCCATCTCACTAATCGCCAAAGGGTTGAAACAGGAACGCACACAACAGAGCACCACAGACAAACCACTTAACTCAAGACTGACGCCAGCTCACTAACAGTCGCGGGAGACCCCCAGCTAACATCACCTAGCAGCACAACTCGTAACTACAAAGCATGCGTGCGCAACAGGTCGTTTCCGGTTATTTTTGGGTCCTCCTTCGTATATGGTTCAATCGAACATGTAAAAACAAAAACATCATACCTAAGTACACCAACTTAACCATAAAAGGTTCAAGTAAAGCTGTAAAGCTTACTCAGAGACAAGCAACCAAACTCAGAATAAACAACGAATTAAAGTTCTTATATATTGAAAAACAAAATATTAACAAACAACTGTATAAATTACACTTAAGAAATGCACNTGAAATAAACGAACCAGTTCTAAAGAAGTGGACGACGCCCCTTGTGAGGTGTAATAAGAAATTTATAAAATTTAAGAGAAAACAAATTTAATAGAAAATTTTAATGGATTTTATTTGATTTAAATTAAGTGAACTACAGGTTGTGCTACTTTAGCGCATACATATTAAACCACGACTATGAGGTTTGAATCAAGAAGCTTGCAGTTGCATATGGATAATATTAGTGCGGTGTAGCAGTTTTAGTATAGTAAGGCTTCTGAGGATGATCATTTACGGACGAAACATGTTGTGTCGAAAGTGAAAGTGAAAGAAAGAAGGAAAAATTGTTGCATTGTTGACGGACTGTGTAGTACATATACAGTATTAGATATAGTAATGCAACAGGATGCTTAAACACAGGATCACTAGAAATAGGCTTGAAAGGATTCTGACGGTGGTGTATGCTGTACAGAACTGTTAGGTTTATTTGGGGCTCTATCCATAGTCTGGTATATACATAAGACAAAAAACTACAACGTTTCGGAGACTGGATCTGTCTCCGTCCTCAGGTGGGTGGGATAAGATAGACCAATCAGTTGAGCCCGATAGAAAGAGCTCGTTTCAATCACTGGACCAATCACCTGAGGACAAAGACAGAGCCAGTCTCTGAAATACTGTGTTTTTTGTCTTATTATATACACACTTGGTCGTCGACTTACGACCGGCCGCACTTACGACCACAAAAAATGAAAAATAAAAAACGATTAAAATCTAAAAGTTTTAAAAATAAATTATAAAGATGATAAAAAATTAGAAAGGTTAAAACATAATGTTAATAAATATATGGCCGACATACGACCAGAACGACTTATGACATGTCAGAACGGAAGTCGGTCGCAAATCGATGACCAAGTGTATAACATTCGGCCAACACGGAGTGCTGCTGGCTGCATATATATAAAACATTCACAATTACAAAAGACAAGTCCGTCCAATGTGACTATTTCAGTTTTCTCACTTGATGATTCACTAGGCTTACATGTTTCGATCCATTTGGATCATCTTCAGAGGCACCAAACACTTTTTAGAAACCACTATCACAACAGTTGTCATATGAAATACACATGTATTGTCCAACTACACAATGTTCCATCTATCAGTCACAGCAGCCTTTCTGGTTATAGAAATATTTAAAGTTGTTTTAAAGTTTTATAAACTTTCTTAAAAATTAAAATTCATAAACCATACGGTTCGTGTCAATAACCCCTGTCGTCTCTCTTCAAGGTGGCCGATGTTGTGCCTCCTAAGTAACTTGAGTAGGGAGATTCTGTAAATATATTATGGGTATTGTATTAATATCAGCGATCCTACTATATATATATATTTTTAAGGTTTTTATCCTACATTAATATAGTCCGTTATGATTTCTTGGCCCGCTGTGCTGTTTATACTGTTCTAGTGTGTGTTGTGCCGCATAATCTATACTTCCTGTATCTGTGACGTTGTTGTGGGCGTGTTCTGATGTTGTATTACATACAAAAAATCACAAAACTGTTCAAAAACACTAATATAAAGATAACACTCAAGACAACCGACACAATAGGTAAACTAACAAATGAAAAACGTGAAGTAAACCCATACGAACAAAGTGGAATATACAAAATAACATGCCAAAGTTGCAAAAAAATATATATATAGGCCAAACTGGCAGAAACTTAACAACAAGATACAAAGAACACATAAGAAATATAAGACTAAACAAGGACGAATCAGCATTCGCCCAACACATACTAAATAAACACCATCAGTACAGGCCAATGACAGCAATCATGGAAATGATTGAAAAAGCCAAAAAAAGGAAACATTATGCATATAAAAGAGGACTTCCACATATATCACTCTAATAAATTCAATAAATTAATAGAAGAACTAAAATACACAAAAGAAAGTAATAGCCAACGTAACATGTTCGACCTCATAATACAACATCAGAACACGCCCACAACAATGTCACAGATACAGGAAGTATAAATTAAACGGCACAACACACACTAGAACAGTATACTCAGCACAGCGGGCCAAGAAATCATAACGGACAATATTAAGGTAGGACAAAACCTTAAAAAAAATTATATACAAATATATATGCAGTAGAACTTGGTTATAACGTCATCAAAGGGACCTAAAAATAGTGTCGTTATAAACGAATGTCGTCGTAACCGAAATGGGCACTTCCACAGTAGCCTTATGTTAGTCACCTAAAAATCTACCAAAAACTGAGTTAAA